CTCCATTCTGATGTTGCTTTCATTATAATTTTCTTTCACTTTTCACACAAGTGAAGCAGGTAGGCACTATTTCCTCTTTCCCACGTGTCTCTCTGTATTAGTTTTCATCTTGTGAGAAATGTCACAGTCGTAGGAAATTACTCGGGAAGGAAGTAGGAACAGTGCTGCAGCAGTGTATCTGAGAACTGCAGATGGGGGAGAAGGGCATGCTGGGAAATTATTTTTTCTGTGCTTAGGCCAGTTAGGTACCAGAGAACTGGAGAAGAGAGATTAGGACAAAGCTTATTAAAAACAAGAACCTGCGAACAGCAGCGGTCTGCTCTGCAGACCTGCGCTTATTTCCAAACGCCTGGGTGGGAAGCAGAATAAGCACGGAGGACAAGGCACTCTCTCTGCATCCAGAGGGTTCTCATCTGCCCAGAGACCAGTGACAGCAACCAAGGGAAGGCTGCTAAAATAACTGCAGAATAAGGAGGAGAGCCTAACCTTTTCTGCGACTCCAGGGAAGAGAAGACTCTAAAACTGACCTCCTCCAAAATCTGTTTCAAAAATTCCAGAAAAATTTGAGTATCTTCATAATAAAGACACACCCTCTTCTGAAGAGAGGCAGAAATTTAGGTGGAGAGGATTAAAGGAAATAAAAATGAACAAAAAGGACTAGTGGGTTATAGAACAGAACACAAGGATGGAATACATGAAGTCAATAAGAATTAAGAAAAGCAATATTAAAATGGAAATTCACACTTACTGGCAGTAAAGAATGGAAAGTTAATATTGATGTGGAAGACTACTTTAATACTGTTTCCCAAATGCAAAGGGAGAAAAATGAGACTAAAATAATAATAAGATGGTAGGGGGCCAGCATTGTGGCATAGCAGGTTAAGTCACTGGATGCCCATATCCCATATAGGAGTACCTGGGATGGAATCTCACCTCTGCCTCTACTTCCAATCCAGCCACCTACTGATGCACCTAGGAAATAGTAGATGATAATTCAGGTTGCTTGGATTTCTGCTACCCATGTGGGAGACCCGGATGGAATTCCTAGCTCCTGGCTTTGGTATGACCCAGCCCCAACTATTGTAGGCCTTTTCAGAGTGAACCAGAAGATGAATCTCTTCCCCTGCCCAAACCCCCATGGCCTTGCCTTTCAAATAAATAATAAATAAATATTTGAAAAAATGACAAATATATAGTGTTCATTTGCATGAAGATGTTCCTAAAACTAGCTTACGAAAAAGCACAAATAAAATTCTCAAGAATATTAATCCAAGGTAAAACAGGTTTCAGAAAAACCTCAAAACAACTCGTGTCATGTTCCAATAATGCAACCTTAAAATCCAGAAGACAGTAGAACAAGATCTAAGGAGTTTTGAAGGTAAACCTTATACTCAATTAATTTGTATGCATGCTAGTACTTCTGCTGTCAAAAAAAAAAAAAAAAAAAACAAAGACAAAAATTAAAAATAAATGAAAGCACAGGAATGAGAGAGATATGACATTAATGGAGATTAAAGGCATATATTTAAATTCCTCTTTTATACTTCATTATAAAACTAACGGCAAATGTTAAAAAGTTTTCTAGGAAGAAGTTTTAAATAAAATAAAATGTTTCTGACTTAAAACACTCAAAGACTAAAAATCTGGTGGCTAAGGAACAATGAAAAGAAGCAATAAAAATGTGCCAAATGCTATGTTTAAAATAGATTTACCTTAAAGATGCTGTCATTTTTGACACTCTTGGTGTTAACATGTTTCAGAAATATGGGCTAATGATTACCATGGAAAATCATAAAGGTAATTGAGTTATTCAGTTATTTTCAATTTTCTTATTTAGTAGAAGTTATTCCCCACTTCTCTGTGGGAAATTAAGTGTACAGGATGTGAAAGTCAGAAAAGCATTACAAAAAGAAACAGTAAGGGATATCATGCACAACTATAACAGCAAACCAAAGGAAAAACAATCCATAAACAGAGACTGCCTCATCATGTTTTTAAAAGAGGATGTCTAATCTAAAGGGAAATCCTAGAGGTTGTAGAGATGCATTGCTCCGCATGGCAGCTCCTGGCTATCTGTGGGCATTTAAGTTAAAGTTAATTAAAATTAAAAGTCGTTTCCTCAGTCACACTAGCACCATTTCAAGTGATGGAGAGCCGTGTTTGGTTAGTGACTGCTATGTGGACCAGCGTAGATATAAAACATCTCCATCGTGGCAGAAATTGTCTTGCACAGCACAATTGAAGAGGGAATTTTTACCAGTAAGAGACAAAATACACCTCTCTTTTTCTTTTTCACAGATGGACTTTCACTGATTCTTTCACATATTCTGCTATTAGAAAATAATAGGGTAAATACACTTTGTAAAAGTCCACGAGGGATTGTCAGTATAGTACTTAAAATATCCATTATTGAAGACAATACATTCCCAATAATATTTCAGCATTGTTTATATACTGTATCTAACACAAAGCCTAGACAACAAGCATTAAAATCTGATTTAAGCTTATACCTGAAACTAAAAGACATTCTTAATACTTTGTAAATAAAAAAAAAGTAGCACACACACAAAATTTAATGATTCTGAATCAAAATGCTCTAAAATCCAAAGTTTTTAAGTATCAAGATGACATACTTGGAAAATTCCACAAACTAAGACTTTATTCAAACTGTGCATATAAGGTGTGTATGATACATAGGTGAACTTCACATTTATAATTATGTTCCCTCTCTAAGATACCTCATTACAGATGTGCAAATATTTCAAATATGAAAAAATTGAAAATCCTGAAAAATCCAAAACAAAAATTTCAGGTTCCAAATACATACACATATGTACAGAAAATTTTGGAAAGATTACTCTTAACATTATTTTTCTCTTGATGAGGGAATTTTACATGTGTGTGTGTTCCTCTGCTTATCCCTATTGTACATTATCTCATTTTAGAATAGCCAGGTTACACTTGTGTAACCAGCTCTGAAAGTATTGCTGAAAATGACTTCGTGAACTACCACTTTATACACAGTAGAGGCATACTTTCAAAATGGTCTTTTCCAAGTAGACAATTAATATGCCGTGGTGGAGAGAGCGTCAGTAAGTCCTAGCAGTCAGGGCTTCATGGCACATAAAAAGAAGCCGTCTCTGGCTGACTGTCTGCAGCAGAAAAGAAGCACAGTGAAAGGATAATAGATGGCTTGTGCAAGCCCAGGGCACGGGCAGAGCGCGGGACTCTCCCCAGGCAGAAAGAGGCAGTTCCCGAGACTCCCCACTGGGAGGAGACAGCTGAGTTCTGAATCTGGTTGCTTGGGAGCTGCCCACAGGGGTGGTGAACCTGAAACCAGCGGGCTCTCCCTTTGTCAAGTCTTGGCTTGACAGCTCAGAAGCACAAAAGCCCCTGGCTGTGTCCCCATTTACTCCCAAGCAAAGCCTCCCACACCTGCTCTTTAACAATAGGTTCTAGCCTTACAAGGTCACTAAATCACTGTTTTTAAGTAGTTTTTACAAGCACCACCACCTTGTAGTCTACATCAATTTCAACTAGTTGGGGGCTGAATCTGAACAAAAAGGAGGATCCCAGGGGCTGGTGTTTGGCCTGGCAGGTGAGATGACTGGGTCTGTTAGGCACGAAGACAGGAGCCTCTGTGTGTGTGTGTGTGTGTGTGTGTGTGTGTGTGTGGTGTCTGTCTAAAACATAGACGTTCATGCAGTTGAATGAGGGAAGAGAACAGGGACCTAGATGCCATGAAAGGAACTGCACATCTGTAACCCGTCAATGTTGTGGGTGAGTTCCTGCACCCAGTTCAATAACACTGCAGGTCTGCCCCTCCCATCGTCTCCCCCCATCCTCCCCGACCCCAATCCCAGGGGACTCTTCTGGGCCCAGCACCCTGAGGCCTGTGTGTCCAATAACACTGCTCAGTAACACCCCCTGGCGGGGGGGTGGGTCCTCCTGCTGGCCTTCCTCCCTGCAATATGCCAGAAGAGACAGAGGGAGGAAAAATGGCAGCACGAAGTTCGCTCCATACTCATAAAACCCCAGTCTAAGCCAAGAGGGGGCAATCCGTTTTATTTTTTAATACAAACTTCATGCGTTTCATAAATATAACTTTAGAAACATAGTGATTCCTCCCACCATACCCGCCCTCCTACCCGCACTCCCACCTTTCTTCCTCCTCCCTCTCCTATTCCCATTCTTTTTTTTTTTTTTTAACTAAGGTCTATTTTCAATTAACTTTATACACATAAGATTAACTCTGTTTCTTCTTCTGTGGCAGCCCTTCTGACAATATGTATGGGTTCAATTTTGGGCTCTGGCTTCTAACTCCAGCTTTCTGTTCATGCAGATCTTGGGAGGAAGCACTGATGATTCAAGTGAATGATTCTGCCACTCACAGTGGGGACTGGATTGTATTCCCAGCTCCCAGCTCTAGCCTTGCCCAGCCTCAGCTGTTTTTGGCATTTGGGGAGTGAACCAGTGTATAGAAAGATGGAAGCTTTCTGTGTCTCTGTCTCTGTGTGTGAGTGTGGGTTTCAAATAAGTTTTTCTTCTAAGAGAAAAGGAGAATTGTGACCAACAGATGACACCCAGGACCAAATACACCCCTCTCTGCTCAAGTAACCAAAAATTAGAGAATGAACAGAAATAATAGAGCCAGATGGCTTTAGAAGTGAGGGGTCAGAAAATTACAACCTCCCCTCATCAGATTCCTGCCATGGGAAGCAACCAATTAAGACCAGCATGGCAGGTGGTGGAGGAATTCACCAGCAGTGAGACACAATGAAAAGAGTTAGATTTATTAAAGTACACAGCAAGGAAGCAGCAGGCAAGCAGGATAGGTGGAAGCTGAAAATGCTGCCACCAGGATTGTAATCTGGAGGTAGGTATCTCAGGAAGAGTGCTGCTGGCGAGGGTTTTTTCTGTCATTGATTTCCTTACTGCTGGGAAGTTTTCCTGGGGGTTTCTTTATTTCCAGGGACCCAGGAGACCTTCACATCCTTCCCATACTGACCCTATGAAATTGCCCTGCTGAGGTGTCCATGTAGACTTCTTTTTCCTGACCTCATAAAGCTTTCTCTGGAATCCCAGTTGAAGGGACAGATTCTGTTTCCATGTTGGTCAGTCGCACAGATAAAATGTTTCTTTTCCCAGAAGACCAGTGTCACAGATTATTTTTTGTGCTACAGCATCAGCAAACCTACATCGGAAACAAGTCCAGCACCATGGCTAGCACCGCCAGGAGTCCAGAGTGAGAACAGTCACAGCCACACAGGTGTCTAGAAACTCTTCTTCCTTAGCACCACTAGCTCTTGATTTAAAACCCAGTACATACTATCGCTTATGGGCTTGCATCCTTTCTTCAGAACTACTCTAGAGAATCATGTATGTAGCTATGAAGTTGTCTTGGATTTAACATATTTAACATATTTTGTTGTGTCTTCCAGCTTCCTGACTCCTAAAAAGCACAGCTCTTAGAACGCTGGGAATTTCTGACTTGGTAAGTGTCTTTTTTATGCTAATGAAATGACTGTTGACTGGGGGCTCCTTGATAGGCTCAGGATGGGACTGGGTGATGGTGGAACAACTGTGATTAGAGGGATGGAACTTTTAGCCACACCCTCTGATCTTCAGAGGGAGTGGAGAGGTCTGATCTGAAGCAGTCACCAATGGCTAACGATTTAGTCAGTCACAATGAAACCTCCACAAAACCCTAAAGGACAGGTACTGGAGAGCTCCAGGTTGCCGATCAGGTGGAGATTCTGGGAAAGTGATGCACCTGCAGAGGGCACAGAAACCCCATTCCTCTTCCCCATGCCTCACCCTATGCTTCCCTTTCATCTGACTGTTCCTGAGTTCTACCCTTTTGTGATAAACAGACCATAATAAACAAACTGCTTGCCAGAGCTCTGTGAGCTGCTCTAGAACATAATCGCAATTTTGAGTAGGGGTTGTGGGAACCTCTGAACACTGATTGACAGCTGATCGCTCAGAGGCAGGGGTGACAACCCCGGCATGTAACTGACACCTGAAGTAGGGTCAGTCTTGGGACTAAGCCCTTAACCTCTAGTCTGATGCTGTCTCCAGATGACTAGTGTCAGGACTGAGTTAAATTATAGGACACCCAACCAGTGTCTGCACAGCAGTGGAGGGGAAACTCCACACACACTGTGGTGACCAATAGTGTTTTGTTAGGGTATAAAAAAAGCAATGCGGGCCGGCGCCACGGCTCAATAGGCTAATCCTCTGCCTAGCAGCACCGATACACCAGGTTCTAGTCCCGGTCGGGGCGCCGGATTCTGTCCCGGTTGCCCCTCTTCCAGGCCAGCTCTCTGCTGTGGCCCGGGAGTGCAGTGGAGGATGGCCCAAGTCCTTGGGCCCTGCACCCCATGGGAGACCAGGAGAAGCACCTGGCTCCTGCCTTCGGATCAGCGCGGTGCGCCGGCCGCAGCATGCCAGCCGCGGCGGCCATTGGAGGGTGAACCAACGGCAAAGGAAGACCTTTCTCTCAGTCTCTCTCTCTCACTGTCCACTCTGCCTGTCCAAAAAAAAAAAAAAAAAAGCAATGCATTTGTTTCATCCTCTAGAGTGGCATCCCCAGTTTTTATCACATGCGATCGTTCTGAATGATAGACAGCTGTAAGGGTGGCGCTGTCTCACAAGAGCAGAGTGAAAGTTCTTAGCACCATCGCCTCTGGCTGCCTCTCTCCAAGTCCATTCCTCAACACCATACTTCTTGGTGGGATTTAATGTAACGCTGTTTCCCTTGACTTGAACCATGAAGACCATGAAATTATCAAGTGCTAGGTTTGTAAAAGACATTTACTAAAGTGTTTAACAAAGGTTATCTCAAGTAGTTCCTAAGAGCCTCCTAATTATAGCCACAGAGAACTTAGGAAAATTGCTCAGTGTCATAGAGCCAATGAGTGGTGTCACAGGATATTGATCCAGGAAAGCCGGTTCCAGAGCTCAGACTGCGAACTCTGAGACTGGGCTTGTCTCCTACAGACAACTCATCTGTGCTGTCGGTATGGGAATGTGCACATTTACTCTTACTCAGACCTTTGAGAGTATCTTTCCACACCATTAATAAACAGGGTGGGAAGACAAATCTACCACTTTGCAATCCGTGGAAGCTGTCTGACTTACCAGCAGTGCTGCTCATGATGGACCTAGGCACATTTTTGTTTGTTTCAGTTTATTGAAACTGTGGATTTGTTTCTTTTATTTTTTTCCTTCCTTCCTTCCTTCCTTCCTTCCTTCCTTCCTTCCTTCCTTCCTTCCTTCCTCTCTCCCTCCCTCCTTCCCTCCCTCCCTCCCTGCCCCCCTCCCTCCTTCCCTTGCTTCCTTTATTTCATTTGAAATGCAGAGAAACAGAGATAGAGAGAGACATACAGACAGAAAGAGATTTTCTATTTGTTGATTGACAGGCCTGGCCATGTTGAAGCCAGGATCTAGGAAATTGGTCTGGATCTCCTGTGTAGAGAGACTCAACTACTTGAGCCATGACTGGCTGTTTCCGAGGGTGTACATTAGCAGGAAAGTAGAATAGGAAGCATTCCTGGGACTGGAACCCAGGTACCCTGATATGGTATACAGGCATTACAAGCAGCATCTCAGCTACTGTGCCGAGTGCCCAGTTCAGGACTTGTTTCTTAACCATGAGTGTGATACACAAACAGAGTGTCAGTTTTGTTTCCAGAAAGAAAAATTTGTCAACGATGGAATATTTCCTTTTATAACTTCTCACTTTTTTTTTAGCCTGTTTAGTGTTTTGAGTTCTTAGTTTACATATCATGTTTTTCAAAGCCAAATGTGGGATCTGGATGAGCTAATAAGTTAAATATCAAAAGATCCATTAATGAAGGCAAAGCACAAGTAGTTCCTAATATTTTTAATCAAGTGCATATGGAAATTACTTTTTTCATCCAGAGATAGTAGCAATTTGTCAATTGTACATGATATCTACTAAAATTTTGCAACCTTCTAAAGTTTTAAGAGAAGACAAAACATATCTTTCTTTTCAAGAAAGAACACTAGAGTACACTGACAATTATTTATCTAGAGCTAGTGTCTAGGATAAGGCATAATATACAGATATTTTGGAGATTTCAATACCTAGACCAGCATGACCAGATATAACCATTTTCTTTTTGTAAAGGCCAAAACACAGCTTATGTATGAATGCTCAAGAACTGCCAACTGAGACAATATTTTTGTGTTATGTTAGTCCATGTGACGTTAGAGGAGTAAGTTAATGATTATTCTTGATCATAATCATTTCAAATTTTAATAATGTCCACAGATCATGAAATCAATACTCTTCTCCCTAAGCACTAAAAAATAAGTCGAAGAACTGTTTTATATATATATATTTATTCAATATTCATTAACTGTAAACAGCATAGTCTGCTTACTTGGATAGCGCCATTAAAATAGCAAGTAGCTCCTGGCTTCTCTCCTGTCAGCATCTTACATGAAAAAGTGGTGATTTTCCATCAGACATTTGACTCTTGTCAACTTGTGCAAATTGACTTGATGCAACTGCTACGAAGCATTTAGCAAATCACCTCCTTTTCCCATCCAGTTGCAGTTTCATTAGCTATGACTGCCACATTTTCAGCACATGCATAAATGCATGAATTTCTTCAATAGCCAAAAAGTAGACAAACAGGACTTAAATATATTCATAGAACATCCTACTTAGGATGAACGCTTTGTAAAATTACACAGCAAACTAGTTCTCAGGAATAAGGTGACTATCAGTTTCCAGTGTGGATCTATACATTACGTATAAGTTATATTTAGCTGAAAGTATATTTGTTATGCCTAGTTTCTGTCAGATATCAATGTTGCACTGATTTCCAATCAGCTATTTATTTCTATTCCTTCTGTAATCATGAACAGAACTTTCTGTGGCTCAATGTACTTTTGCTTCTCTTAGGGTTCCTCTAACATTATAAAATCAATCAAATATTTCTCTAACTCAAATGGAACCCTTACACATGCATATTATGTAACCAAAGACTTTTGGAAAGGAGATATTGAACTTGCCTGCACAATTCGAAGAGCTAAGTAGGCAGAGGTGTTTTAGAAGCTTATAGCCTAAATGTGTCGGGATATGATTTAATCAGCGATTTATGTAGGCATGCCAGTTACCTTGTGTGTATTTTTTCTTATTGAACTTTAATTTTTAGGTATAAAATCCAAATTCACCTAAAGTTTTAAATTGTGACCTTTTTTAGTTTAAAATTTCAGAATATGTTCCTAGAAGCTACTACTGACTCCCTCGTCCAAGATGAATCTTGGCAGAATTAATGACAAAAAGTACCAAGAAAGCTATGAGGGAACGTTAGTATAAGGAGAAGTATATGGACAAGGCATTTTGAAATTATTGGTTAAGGTGATAACTTTAACTTCAGACATGGGAGAGACTCAAAGGCAGGATAGAAGGAAGTCAATTATGCTTTGGAGGTCATTCTTATCTTCCTTCCTCTATACCTTTTTTTTTTTTACTGTAATGAAATATTTTTTTAATTTTTATTTAATAAATATAAATTTCCAAAGTACAGTTTATGGATTACAATGGCTCCCCCCCATAACTTCCCTCCTACCCGTACCCCTCCCATCTCCCGCTTCCTCTCCCATTCCATTCACATCAAGATTCATTTTCAATTCTCTTTATATACAGAAGATCAGTTTAGTATATAGTAAGTAAAGATTTCAAAGTAAAGATTTCAACAGTTTACACCCACACAGAAACACAAAGTGTAAAATATTGTTTCAGTACTAGTTATAGCATTAATTCACATTGTTCAACACATTAAGGACAGAGATCCTACATGGGGGGTAAGTGCACAGTGAATCCTGTTGTTGAATTAACAATTGACGCTCTTGTTTATGACATCAGTAATCACCCTAGGCTCTTGTCATGAGTTGCCAAGATTATGGAAGCCTTATGAGTTCGCTGACTCCGATCTTATTTAGACAAGGCCATGGTCAAAGTGGAAGTTCTCTCCTCCCTTCAGAGAAAGGTACCTCCTTCTTTGATGGCCCGTTCTTTCCACTGGGATCTCACTCACAGAGATCTTTCATATAGGTGTTTTTTTGTTTTGTTTTGTTTTTTGTTGTTTGTTTTTTTTTTTTTTTTTTTTTTGCCAGAGTGTCTTGGCTTTCCATCCCTGAAATACTCTCATGGGCTTTTTAGCCAGATCCAAATGCCCTAAGGGCTGATTCTGAGGCCAGAGTGCTGCTTAGGACATCTGCCCTTCTATGAGTCTGCTGTGTATCCCGCTTCCCATGTTGGATCGTTCTCTCCCTTTTTTTATCCTATCAGCTAGTATTTGCAGACACTATTCTTGTTTATGTGATCCCTTTGACTCTTAGACCTATCAGTAGGATCAAATGTGAACTGAAATTGATCACTGGGACTAGTGAGATGGCATTGGTACATTCCGCCTTGATGGGATTGAATTGGAATCCCCTGGCACATTTCTAACT